CTCTGAACATCAGGAAACACTTTTTTTACTGTGAGGGTGATCGAGCACTGGCACAGGTTGCCCAGGGGGATTGTGGAGTCTCCATCCCTGGAGATATTCAAAAGCCATCTCAATACAGTCCTGGGCACCAGGCTCTAGATGGCCCTGTTTGAACAGGTGAGTTGGACTCCACGACCTCCAGAGGTCCTTTCCAACCTCAACCACTCTGTGATTCTGCAAACATTAAAACATTAAAATTGATACAAACATTTGTGCTTTATGCAAGATACTAAATGTCTTCAAAGGAAGGGAATAGTCCTGGTTTGATATCCCTTGCAGTGACAAGAAATGCAAATCCCTTCTCAGTTATTCAGCAAGATCCTCCAATTCCATAATAGCTCCCTTTTGCCCTCCTGGTAGTCTGCCAGACTTGCTAAGTCCCCTGGAAGCTTCCTGTTTCTGACTTATGCTTTTAAGAACTTCTTTAGCTATTTGCCCTCATGATTTCCTTTGTGCACACTGCTTGATGTAGTTTACACTATTGTAACCCTTGCGTTAGGTGTCAACAGCAGAAGCTGAGTAGGGGTTTACTCTGCCTATCTGGTGGGTCAAGTTTTCTTGTTCCATTAGTTTTCTAATATAAATATTTAAAAAATAACAAGGCAGAAGCTTGTGCCCCTTTTAAAGAGTCTGGCTGTTGACTTGAGGGTCCCTCCAAAGAAATGATTTAACTGACAAGGAGTAAAAAAGAACAGGCCTCTGTGCCCTTTCAAAGACAAAAATGTAAGGGCTGAGTGCTGACTTGTTTAGCCTTGCCAAAGGAAGACTGAGGGACACAAGGGGGGTCAGATCTTTTGCTATAAATACCTCAGGGAGAAAACAGTTATTCATGCTAAGAGACAATGCTGGCATAAGAACAACTGCATATAAACTAGCTGTGAATACATTTAGGATGAATACTGAAAGCAGATTTTCATCCGCTGGAGCAAAGAGACCCCAGAGCAGCTTTCAAAGAGGAGCAATTGCAGCACACGTGCACAATGGCATCCAAGTTCAAGAACAAGGGTTTAACAGGAGACTTGACTCTGACACAGAAGACCCATTTTACTGTTGTATCCTTATCATCTGTTTCACATTATAATTAATTCTGATAAAAGATGAATACTCTTCATGAATAAGTCTCTCTCTTGCCCATGCATAAACCTCACAATGGCGTGTAGTGATGAATGACAGTCAACCACACTGAATGAAAAATTCCTGCCAGCCTACACCTCATAGGAAAGGCATCAGCATGACATACCAGAGTTTATTAGTCTCAGAAATAATCCCGATAAAGCACGTATATAACTCAACCTTTAATGTGTGGCTGACTCACGATTTTGTACTCAGAGAGCTATTTCAGCTACGGGTTAGATTTCTCACTCCCCTCTTGCTCCTCTCGAAGTTTTTTTTAATGTAGTCATTGTGGAGACACAGTTAAATGGGTACAGACATCTCAGAAGGTCACATCATATATTCTTCCTTCTTACACTGAAATATGCAATGCAGGCAAAAGGCACTTTTATACCATTATAACCACAAATGAACTAGGACAATCATATGCTTTAACTAGACTTGAACCACGAATACAGACTCATGTGAATTCAAGTCCTTGAAAGAAATCTTTGAGGAACAAAACTAAACCCCTGGTTTAGAACGCAAACTATTCTTAACTTGCCAAGAAGGTTTTGCTCATTAGCTGGTTTTGAATGTCAGAAGGTAACTTTTTTTCAGAACAGACTGCCCTGTAACATTATGTTGTGAAATTTCATATGCATGATTTTATTATAATCTGAATAGAGCCGATATCTGAAGAGCAGAGAAAATGACTACACGAAGAATTTACAGAACATTCATTTACATACTGGAGACCTTTTGATGCTTCTTTACCGTTCCAAGAAAAAGGTAAAAATTTTCACTAGTAAGTAAATCCAAGAAGGAAACATTAATTTTTTAATGATGCTGTTGGATACATGGAAACCATTTAATTAGAAACATGGCTTTTAGCTTTTTCGTAGTTTAACACTATGATTATAGTAGTACATTTACTAAGCAGGTAAATAGGAGTCTGGCTAAATACACATGTCAACTTGCTGCCATTAGTTATGAAACTGCATATACTCATCTACCAAAAACCTTGAAAGAAAGTGCTGTATTAACTATTTAGTCTTGTATTTGCCATGAACATAAGTTTTGTGAATATCTTTCTACATACACTACACAATGGTACATAATGAACTATTTTGCTTTGTGCATTTTTTAATTAATTAAAAAGCAAAAGCATGTGGCGATATACCATCCAAAGGAACACATAATAAAAAATCTCCCTTAGAAACAGGGCAACTTCTTTTTTCCCACTTACCACGTAGAGCTAAACTCCCACTAACCACCATCAGGAGTGTCAGCGTTCAATTCCTTATGCTCTTGAATTCAGCAGACCTTGAGAAAGCACAAGGAATAAAAAAAATAAGGCCCAGAATGGAAATGATAATACATGGGGAAAAAAAAAGATACTTTATTTTCAGCCCAAAGGCCAACACTTGGTGTCTAACAAGACACACTAAAATTTAAGTATCAGCTACAGAAGTGAAAAAATCTAGTAAAAAATTCCTCATCATTTCAATGCTTACAACACATCAGATTTAAATCTAACTGAGACTTAAATCTAATTGAGATGTCAGCTGAAGAAATCCACTGGGCTCCAACCGGCTGACTAGATTAGGCAACTGGGTTCTTGGTGCATCAAAAGAATATGAAAAGAAAACTCACGTGTTTCAAAAGGATCAAAGTTCCCAAAAGTAAGAGCTGCATTCTTTTTTAGATGGTACATATACACCATTTAAGTAGTATACCTCTGTGTCAGAAGAACAGAATTATTTGGTACAAATCAGAGGCACTTGCCTTTGTTGCTTCAACAGTAGCTACTACGCTTTGGAATGCTTCACCCTTCCACACACATCCAACACCCACTGCTACTAATACACCACTTCCTGGTCCACATAGATTAAACTCCAAATCTTTCTTCTCTCTCCCTCTCTTCCCCACCCCCCTCCTTTTAAAAAGTATAGAGTTATTTATACAAAATTCATAGTTACACAAATAATTTGGTAACACTTTGGCTATGGTCACTGAATAAGGTTTCAAAGGTCCTGATACTTTAGGAAATAGGAAGAGAGCTATTAATAAAAAACAGATCATAATTTAGACAGGACAAACATAGTTCAAATTGGTGGAACCTTCTTAACATATAGCTCAACCAGAGTTTCCCATTCCATTTAACCATTATTTAGTAAAATTAGATGAAAGAATTAGATCCTCCAAGTGGGTACAGTTACTAGTTAATCCAGTGCCTCATGCATCAGTATGCTGAATTCAGCATGTTATTTTATCCCTCAGGTTATTAATATAATGTTGACAGCCACACATCAAAGAAATAGAGGCAATGAAACTTTTCAGCACTGTCACACTGAAGCTGCTTTACTTTTAGTTCTGATACGGGGGTCTAGTACTGTTTTTTTTGGAGTAAATGAGAATTACACAGTAGACCTCAGCAGCTTATTCTCCTGATGAAGGTTTCCACTGTAACCTTCTGTATCCATTCTCTGTAAAGCTAGTACTTTGTTATGCATTTAAAATACCAATGTGTTTAGAAAGATACACAGATATGTGTAATGGCTGTAGAAATCATGACATAAATGCTCTCAAGAAATGGGACAGAGTAACAAAATAAATTCCATTCCCTTTTGGATTTCCTGACTCAAGGAATTATTAAAAAAACATAAACCAAAAATAGTTCCTATAGATAAAAAAAAGCCAAGAAATCCCCAAACTCCAATAAAATGGGGGCCAAAAGGATCCACAAATATAATTATGTACTAGGTAGGGGAACAAACGTTACTATCAAAACAGTATTGCAGAGACAGGAAATGGGAAATATCTTGTCACTGTAAGACAAAAGTCAAAATATGAGACGCTTTTGTCTATAGCAAGGCACAGGTTATACACACTTTTACTTATGCAAAATAGCACGAAAGAGGCAAAGCTCAACAATGGTCTAGTTCAAGAATATCCATATGACATATCAAGATCTGAGATCTACTATAAATAATCACGCACAGGTAAAAATATATAAATTATAAAATTTTCTTCTTTGCTTTTCCCTCATTTGTATCCTGTAATTATAAAATACAGAATCTTCCCTGCTTAGTTCTCTGTATAAAAAAACACGAATACAAAAAAACCAATTACAGAATAGGCTTCCATGCAACCTTTTTTTTTTGTTCTGCCACCTCTCCCCTATTTAAAATTTTTCAAACTAGAACAGCCCAACCTTCTTAACACTAAATACAGAGCAATCTCCCTGAGTATTCCACATTGCTGCTCCTTTCTTATCAGAAATCAACTTGCACAAACCTTCTCTTCACATACATCTTCCCCTTTCTCCATTCAGTTCCCAACACTGATCACATAAAGATGAAGGGAAGAGCAAATAGTCTTCCTCAGACCATCATTCTCTTAAGAGCATGTTTGAAAGGCCTATAGCTACCATTGATGCAACTATGGCAAGTGTCTTTGTGGAGGTGATATAAAAAATTTTCTGCACAAAAAAGTAGCACAGCCTAGTGAGTATCTCTGCTCCAATAAATGATGAGAAACAGCATGTGAATATATACTAGAAACCCTTCAGGAGAAAAGTTTTTAATTTATGCTTCATTCAGGTATGGGCTACATGGGCTTGGGTAGCACCCAGCTTCTTTGCTTGGTCCTTTGATATAAAAACAAAGAAATAATGCTTTATTAAGTCAGAGGCATCTTCAAAGAAAAGGCTGAACTCTTGCAAACACAATGCAGATGGACTGTCCTCTGCTTTCCTTCTTGGGAATGACAAGGTTCAGACGTTGCTGCTGATAGGCTTTCTCCCTCTCACAGTGCTTTCCTTCAGTAATGTCAGTGAAGCGGTCTGAGTCAAGGATGGAAATGTATCAGATCTTCTTCTGGGATCCGATCATGACCTTTGATACAAAGTTCACAATGGCACTGGCAGGTTGCTCTGGATCGTGCTCTGCAAATAGGTGGCATACATTGTCTGTGGCACTGCCTTGCTTCCTGGCAACGAACCCAAATACTCTGCAGGGCAAAAATCACAGTATATCAGAGGAAAGACAGAAAGGCATTGCGTCATTTCATAAAGCAGAAAAGATACTCCAAAAACCAAAAGGAGAAATCAGACTTCATCTGTTGGGAGGGATAAGGTCCTGTGTGACTGCTAAACAGAGTGGTCCAGATGCACCAGCCAAGTTGGGAGCTCCTGAGTGGCTCACAATAACCAGAATCAGGGAAGGAGACTTTCCGCTTCCTTCTACTCTGTCTATACTGAATCCTGTACTGTTTGCTGACAGAGACATGCTGCTGGCCCTGGGGATTTATTTAAATTGATCCAATACTGCTGTTCTCTTACCTACCTTTGGGGGTCTGTGGTGTGGTGTGTCAGGAATTGCCTCGAGAGGATTTGAGGGGCACACATGTCAGTGGACAGAGTACTGGAAATAGGACTTAAGCCATCTATTTCTGTTCCCTTTCCAGAAACCAGTGCCTGAGCACTGTCTGTTTAGGTTCTTCCTTTTGGTAAAAGGGGGACAATGACATTTGTCTTCTACAGAAAACACTTTGCAATCCACTGATAATTATATGTTTACACCACACACTAGTATTACTAAGAGTGTTTTCATCTATGTGCCCTGTGTGGGATTTTTTTCTTAAAGCTATCAGTCTAAATGAGACAAGTAAGCTTGTGTTGGTGTTGCTGGATGAGTGGAAACAAAATTGAGTAGCAAACAGTTCTGTTTTCATTTCTGAAACTTTAGTCAAATCACAGACCTGCAACCTAAATAAACAATGTTACCTCTCCCTCCAGACATCCCACCATCACATAAATAGGCCCTGACTTGCAGAGGTGCAGATGAAGTAACTAAAGTCTAATTACAGTGGACAAAGAGACTTTTGTCTCTGAACAGCTGCTTTGCCTTCTACATCTCTGACGAAGATAATTTAGAACACTAAGAAACTGATCACTGTAATGATATTCTTAAAACATTCACTTAAAAGAGACTTAGGCAGGTGTTCACTTACTTTGCAGAAAGGCCATCTTTCATCCATCTTGTTGTCCATTCAGAAAGCAGTAAAAAAAAAAAAAAAAAAGAATGAAAAAATAAAAATTAAATCCATGTTAGTTTTTTCTGTGGATCAACAATACAAACAACCTATCAGAAATACTGCTTGTTATCCTTACTTTCTGTCCTGTGGATCCAAAGCACAGAAAATAACAGTGTTGACTGGATAATGTCGCCGAAAAAAGAGTCTGGATCAGAAGAAACAAAACAAGTTTTAGGAATAGTTATGATGCTTAAAATTTTAAACAATAAACATCCGAAAAATAAGTTCTATTTAATCTAAATTTAATAATGATGATACATTCTTTTTTCTATCTGAGTGACTTTGAAAGCCACCTGAACTGCTCCAAGCAAATAAATCCATATTTAGAATAGTAACATCAAGTTTTTGAACCAAAAGAAAACTGACCCTCAAGCTAAGAAAAAGAACTAGAAGAATGAAACGGATTTTTTCTAAAAACTGTCCGTTTAGATACTATGTCAGTGGCAAATGCAACTTTTGGAACTTGTGACTAATTTAATTATATCAAGTTTCAAAATATAAGCACTCCTAGGCATTGTAATTTAAGGTTTTGTCCTTGATGTGCTACAAATACTTGCAGACCCCATGAAATTAAGAAGTCTGTCACTTTATTTTTAAACCTATAATGAATTCCCGTTGTCTCTCCTTTGTTACTGTCAGTTTTCAAATCTAAAACCTTCTTAGTATCCTTAATAGCATTCAGTACAAAGTAAATATAAACTAACTTTTTATCGTAGTATTTTACAGGATACCCAAAGCACTGTTTCAAATATTGGAGATTCACAGTGTCTGCAAAGGCCAAGTCTGTTCAGTGATACTGGTGAAAGACACCGTGAAGATAAATTATTTCATTAAATAGGTTGAATATCAAATGCTGGCAAAGCCATTACTTACCCTTTCTATAAGAAATAACAACAGTGAAAAAAATGCCATGGCAAAATGACCTTCCAGAGGTAAAAGCAGACAGCTCACAACCCTATTATCCTCTGAGACACGGACTGCAGAACATAACTAGGAAAATCAAATACACAGCAGCCAACGCTTCTTGGGGACAAGGCTGGCTCTTCTCTTCCCACCCCTCTTTTGCTTACTTTCTTTGATTATCTGTCAGCGTGATTCCCTGTGCAGACACCTTGAAATGGACAATGGTTGAGATGGGAGAAGGATCTTGTATCAGAGTTAGGCTCAAGGCTTTCTGTACTGCCTGGTAGCCCGTAAGGGACTCCATCTCCACTGAGTTCAGGTACCAAACGTTACATGCTGTAATGAAAGACAGGAAAGACTTTGAGAGGTCATTACCCAAGAGCAAGCAAACGGGTATCTTCTGAACAAAACCAAACAAAATGTAACTTTTCCATCTTTGTAAAGCAAACAGGGAAGACTGGCAGCAAACTACCAAACTTTCTATGTGTCACCTTGTACCACTGTTTCATAGTTTTAACACTGTAATTTTGGAGGTCACAGGCCTTTTCTGTTCCTTTGATTTTAATACCTTTATATTTAAGCCAATGACTGTATCTATTACCCAAAAACCCTGAAATTTAAACAAAGACAAGACAGCAGTAGCAGAGAGAGAGGCCACTCATTGGTACTACTACAGCAGAGGTATTCCTGAGGGGAAAGAATAGAGATATTTTGCGTTTAAGTTCAATTACAGCAGCCAATAAGGAAATACGCATTTTTGCAGAATATGTTCACACATTTTACACTTTCAAATGGTATTTAAGCTATATTCAACGGAAACCATTCACTTGTTTGCCAAGACAAGAATGTTTTCACCCCACAAAGAATTGAGGGCTGCTGCAAAGCTCACTTCTCATGAATTCTATACTTGTATGTTAAGCGATTTTAGGGCAAACAAAACAACTTCCACATTGAGAAAAATTACTGACTTATGTATTTTAAGTTCTATTCTTTACCTCAGCATGCACTTACTTTTAAAAGCCCTACTCCTCTCCTAGAAATATTAGTAACTTCTGAAGTAGCTCTATAAAATAGAAGCTCATTGGTTTCTAAGGCTACCCAACAGTTAATATTTTACCTGGTCTCATATCAAATCTGCAGCGAGCACTAGGAAAAGAAGTATTACTATTATATAGCATTATATAATAGTACTATAGTACTGTATAATACTACATAGTAATACATGGTAATGGTGTCATATAACATCATACTCCATTAATTATTATTATTATTATTATTATTATTATTATGTAGTATTAATAGAATTATTCACATGCTTACATACTTTGGTATTGTGGTATAAAGTCAAATTTAGAAGCAGATTAAGAACATTTTTGAAACTGAAAAGCCCTTTTAGTCTTATTCTACAGCACAAGCAAGAATAATTAAACACATCCATAGCTAAACATTGGTACCAACAGATTTTGTGGTTTGGTAAACACATTTGTGTAGGTATCCAGGACAGAATTTACAACTCTGGCAGCTGACACACGCAAGTTACCATGCTAATATTTCATTTGTTTATCAGTTCAGCTTGGCTTGCCAACCTTACTATGAAAGCAAAGATTAAACTAAAACTAAGTCATTTATAATTTTTTATTTATTCTCTTTTCATATGGCTATTCTGTAATCTGACTAAAGATTTCTCCTATCACTATCTACATAAAATACACAGCTAGACATTGGCACTTTCAAAACAACAAAGCAATCAAACAGTTAAAACTGCATAAGCGTAAGTTTGATTCCAGCATGATGATTAGCCCAATAACTTCAAGCTCTGGAGTTTGTTAGTGAAAAGAAGGGATCCAGAGATTTGATTTGTTTGGTTTGTAAGTGTAAAATTTCCCAAATGTATTTGTGCATTGGTGTGATAGTTTCAATAACCATTCAATAACTTCAAGGTTATTGAGTCAATTACTATACAATTCATGCAGAGAAGGATTTAAGATGATGAAGGGCAAGTTCAATGAGGCCTTCCTCTCTGAACAGCTTTCTGTCATGTCTATGCAAAATTTTAAATAGCATTCCAAACCATAAGCTCTCCTCTTCTCACATCATTACTCTATATATTTGGTACAGATCTAAAGGTCTTCATTATCCTGTGAGCCTTTCCCACCACAGAAAGCTTGCCTTGTTTCACAGCCACACTCCTCACCACTTCTGAGACACAAATGAAAGGTTTTCCTTCCTCTTCTACCACACATTGCATTGGTGCCAACAGACTGTGTTCAGGTTTTGTTTCTAAATGAAACAGCCAAGCATTTTGTCTAGATTACCTTCAATGTGATAGTTCAAAAGCAGTCACCAAATACAGTAGATTCCTTTACTTCTGTAGCACAAAAAATAATATATGGAACCTTTTTCAAAAGTGTTGGAAAGTATACAAAGGTCAGCTTAAAAAGGAGATTATAGGAAAGGAAAGGTAATGAGAAAGGCAGAAAGATTTCTCATTTAAGAACATCATGCATGGTCTGATGTGGTATCGAATGACAGCAATCCCACAGAAACCATACTCAAGGCTAGAACAAAAAGAAGGCATCTGTGTCTTTCGTGCAGTGCTGCGGCTCTCATCGTCTACAGGTGGCATTTTGTAGTCATGTCCGTGCTACCACCAAGAGCTACACAACGTGGCCATTTTCAGTAACCCCTGCTGCTTTGAGACTAGGAATGTGCTTTGTTCAGAATGTTTAGTCCCTTGACTGTATTAGTGGAAACAGATAGGAAGAACAGGGATTTATTTGGGGCAGAAAATTTTGCTGCCAAACAGGAAGGTCAATAAAGCAAGGTTTGTTCTAGGGAAAAGCCACTTCTCTGTATCGTTTCTGGTCTTCAATTGTCACTCTTTAGGAAGCAAAGGATTTCTGGTCAGCTTCTGCATTTAGATAATGATTGTAAATGCTCATTAGGTTTTTCAGACAGCTATAAAAATGATCATTCTAGAAAAACACATCTTCATTTTTTTTGCTTGTGGAGTGGGAGAACAGTGGGGTAAAACAGGGCAGGGAAAAAGTGCATCTGCTTTGACTAAACTGCAGGTGCTCACACAAGCTCAGATAGTTGGAAAAGAAACAATTTACATGTTTTGCACCTGCACTTCAGTGTTGAACTCCACAACCTGAATGTGTCTCTAACTAGAGAGGGACTTCTGAAACATAGAAAATCAGTGAGAAATGATGTATCAAGTTAAAAAGAAACTCTGAGAATCTCTCCTAGCTAATTTATATATTCAGGTTCCGAACCCTTGTTTAAAAACAAACCCAACAACAACAGAACAGGGAAAACCCAAATGTACTAAGCTCTTTAAATTATCCATGATGTGACAGCCCTCATAAGGAGCTATATGACTACTGCCCCAACTGAAGTAAGAATTATTTCTTTTTCTTTGAAAAGCATTGCCTGAGTAAGGAGAAACCAACATTTCTCACAAGACAACACATGCCCCTTTTGCTAGGTTTTCAGGAGGGAAAGTTCTACAAGAATTCACTCTACTCCTTTTTTTCCCCTGTTGGCCACAACAAACACCACCAGCACTGGCAGACAGAAAGGCCAACACGTGCTTACTCCTGGCACAGCCTCGCAAAGGCCTGCCATTGCCTCAGCCACACATTCCTTCTTGATTACAGCACTCAAAGTGGCACTTCAAATTTTTAAGTCAAAGCAGATTGCCCCACAAGAAAGCAGCAACACTTTCTCCAGAGCAGCTCAGCTTGGCAGCTGCCCGCTTCAGAAGCGCCCTAAAATGGGTGAGGGCAATAAGGCAGCATTATAAGGACAAAAGCATGCTTGGCCACAACACTTTTTGCTTGTGGCTCCAAGTGGCAGGCTAAACTCAAAGGAGAGTGGCAAATGCAGTGTATTCTCCTGCTCTAATGGGACTGATCGGTGGACAGACAGGTCCTGGAAAGAACTGACAGCAGCCTGAAAACAAGGGACCACGGGAGGGCACGGACATGATCCCCTGGGCATGCCCACTGTACAGGGAAATAACACATTGGCTGCATTTCTACTAAGGACAGCCTTAAGGTTACAAAGGGGTACTCAGAGCACCATGGTTAGGCTTGGGTTAGGGCACCACCACACTTTTCAGACAGGCTATTTCACTAGCTGTCTCTGGGTCAGCTGCACACAAACAAAGCAGATAAGAAGCAGAGCATGTCTCTACACAGCTGCTGCAAATACCTCTATTTGAGGGTGACAGACGGTACCAATGCATAGCATCACATCATTTGGAGGTAATCTTGTCAGGGTTATTCTGTCACATCAATGAACTCACGGTAACAACTTAACTTGCCAGAATGGGTGCAGCAGTATGCATGAGAATCCATAAAATAGCATTGAATGGAAAAGACACTGGACATTTCCTAACAACATGGAGCATCAAGTGAAACACAGGGCAATTTTTTTTAATTTTTTTTTTTTTTCAGATTGATGGGATGGGAAGCATTTTCCAGTGGTATGGATCCCTATGCTGAGAATTTAACCCTACTGAACACTTTCCTTAGTTGCCTTTTGCAGACCTCTGACATAGTTCATGAACCTCTGCAACCACAGAAATATCTTCTCTAAGTTCATCAGTTATGAAAGTAATGTCACTGCTTAAAAATTACTGTGCTTGAACCAACATATGTGTACTTCATATTCTCATGAGACACAACTGGAAAGCAAATGCAGGGTTGTAGAACTTAGGAGCTGGTTGCAGAAAACAGAAAGAACTTGGTACATATCCTCACAGTGCCCTTTACACTTCTACACAGCACCCTGAATTTAACTGCTCCCTTTAAACATCCTTCAGTCCAGTCTAAGCTTCGGTTGCTCCCAGGCTGTAAGATACAAAATTTGGTGACAGTCAAATGCAAGCAAAAAGTTTAACAGACCTGCACCCTGTTTGAGAAGCTCCGCTGCTGAGTTTGCAGCAGTTTGTGGAGAAGTTTCTGCTATCTCCTCCAAGGGATCTGCAAACAGAAAACACTGTCCATGTCTTGTCTGGACTTGAATCAACAAATCAAGGCACATGGTCAAGTATGAGTTTAGCTTTTGTAATTGTGATCTCATCTACTGGACGACTCCGGGCCAGAAATATGAAACAATCTTGTATCTGCAACTATAATCATTCATGTGGGTTTTGTGCTGCATCAGTTTTGTTGCCTCCAGTGCTGCAGGAGGGATGCTCAACCTTTATTTTCTGACAGTAAAAGACATAACTACATAGCATATGCTGCAGGGACACATCTGATATCACATTAAAACAATCGCAATACCTATATTCCCTCACTACCTCAACAATTTTTAAATAGTGCGATTTCAACTACCTCATTTAATTTGTAAAATTTACACTAATTTATGTGTGAAGACTTTGTGTTACTACAATGAAACCAATTAACTGTATTTTGATTCAGAAGATGACAACATAATCCTTCTTTCTTCATACTTAAGTACAAAACAAACATCTGAATTATTAAGACAGCTGTGAAATGTTTGCTTCCCCATCTTCTGTTAAAATTAGTGAGAAAACTGTCCATCAGTATGTTATTTCAGTTATAGAAATGCAAGTAAAAAGATCTCACTTACTGCTGTATTAAACATGACGCATGCTGCCTTTGAATACATTCAAATGAGGAAGACAGCAGTAATACAGTGTGTAACACTATTCATATGTTTAGAGATATCCATAGTCTATGCACTGTGTCCAGAATCATTAACCACAGAAGATAATCTTAAGATGTGTAATCATATTGGATTCAAAAATAAATCCAAAATATAATTCCACTGTGGTATGTTTATTCAGGACAAGGCAAATGTTTGTCCTGCACCTCTGCCAGAACAGAAGGAGCTTCCCATTTTAGGTGAGGAGGATAAGGAGAACAAGCCCACCTACCACATCGGTTTGCCATATAAAGATCTCTGGTCACATCTACCATAGCATGTTTTTGTGCTAAAATGGTTTCATTAATGTATTTGCATAATTCAAATGCTATGTTTGAACACTGACATATGGCCTTTAACAAAAGTTTAAAGAGTCCAGTAGAAAACCACAAAAATGTTTAACATTTCAATAATACATCTGGTGTTAACTTCGTGTGGGAGAATAACAGACAACTGAATTATGGGCAAGCATAGCTACATTTTGCTGTTGTCTTAAGAGTCATTTATGAAATCACCATAACCAAAATTAGAATTACAGTCCCGTGATGCAAGACAGGCTTTTTGATCATTTACTTAAACAATATTTGGACCTGTGTAAGTTGCTACTTCCTTTCTTCCAGTGTCACACTCAGGCACCTTCTGTTCTTTACCTATTTGCCTTCCCTAAAGCCCTTTTGCCACCCAGACCTGAATGAGTGGTTAAATCAAACCATACATGGGCATAATTTCATGTTTGAGAAGTATATTTTTCTTCCTACATGCTAGATTACTGTGCAGATTTCCATGACGCATATATGTTTATGACTGGAATATTACTAGAATACTATTGTGCTCACAACTACAGGTTGGATAATAGCCATCAGCAGTACTGAAGAACCACTTTTAAAACACAGCTTCCTTCCCTGTGTCGAGATCTAAGCATTCTTGCTTAGATCTCAACTTGTGACATGTTCACCTGCCTTCAGACCCTGGCACTTTGAAGCAGAGCTTGGCTGGGTATATCTCTTCTGTACTTTAACAAGCATACCTCTGTCTGGGATGAGGAGCTTGCAGGGCAATGCCAGTGGAGTGATGGAATGCTGATACACCAGAGCTGTCAAACTCCCTGTAGTCAGAAGATCAACAAGAGATGCACAGTTAACTTGGTGGACAGCAAGAATGCTTAACAGTTATGTTGGCTCTCAAGTATTTTGTAGACCAGGGGGCCTCCCCACCCTGCCCTTTAAAAAAAAATTCTCTTGGCACCTAAGCCAAGACTTTCTTCAGTCAACTTCAGTGTATTCATGTTTCCCAACACTGTAGCAGTTAGAGGTACTTGAACTCATTAATCACAATCATATACTCCCTTTCCCTGCTTAAACACACTGCTTAAATACTAACCTAAATGGCTTTGCTTCAAATGAAGAAAGCACAAAAATGATAAAAATAGTAACATCTGGAAGTCAGTAAATTCCTTTCAATGCTCTTAACTTCTGATACATTAAATGTAGTAAAATATTACAAAGATGGTAATAGCACAAGGGGTCAACATTATGTGAGGAGGCAGAGAAAGAGCGAGGAGTTCTGCCTCTTGGCCACCTAGTCTCCGCTGCCTAGTGCTTTGTCTACACACACCTCTGTCTTCTGCTTTTAAAAGTATAAAAGATGGTCTAGATAAAACCTTCTCCATTCAATATGGCAGTGATGTGCGTTGCATTCTCTATTATTCTTATTTTCTATTCAAAGGCACTTTTGTCATTTGGACTTGGCGTAATTAAAATAATTAAACATTAGTCATCCTTGACATTAGCATGACAGACTATAAGGAGTGAGAGGAAGGTGTAATATTCATCATTCTGTTTGTACAAAATGCCATCCTTCGATCCCATTTGCTAACAAACACTGAACACTATCAGGCACTCGAGAAAAATCACAGTTCAACCAAAACCAACCTCATTTTTAGAGCCCATCAAAAATTTCTTTGAAATGGAAAGATGACCCAATTCTGAAAGGGTCTTACAGAAACAGAAAGACCAACTGATACCATTAGTCCTTCATTGCCCTATCCATACAAGCGTGTGATTGTGCCTGCCCACCTACTTTGCGAAGCAGTTTTGTGGCTGTATACATTGAAAGATTAGGAGATGCTCAAACTAAATGATTAGTAGGGCTACATATGTGCCATAAACAGGTAGTTCAAGATCAAGGTAGGACTGGGCTAAAAATTCTTATTTGAAGTAAGTCTCATGCCAAACACTGAAAAAATTCAATCCACCTTTACTTCAAATAGGATCTGTCCCTTTACACTTGTTAATTTTATGACAGATGACCCTTTAATGGGTGTATTGGATGTACATGACAAGGCTGTCAGCATGGGGTGAGAGAACTGCAGGGTGACCTCTGTGGGAAGAGGCCAGGGGCTGCCCCATGCCAGACACAGCTGGCTCCAGCAGACCCACTGCAGGGCACCACTGAGCCACGGGTGAGATGTCTCTGGGAAAGCGTATGTAAGAAAGGGCAGAAAAGGCTGCACAGAGACAAGAAGAGACAAAAATGGTGAGACACAGAAAAGGGAACACTATCGTCAGAGGAGGAGGAGGAGAAGGAGGTGCTCCAGGCACCCAAGGTGACGTCCCCTAATCTGCAGCCTGTGGAGGACCTCACATTGGAACAGACAGACATTTTCTGAAGGAACTGCGGCCCACAGAAAGCGCATGCTGGAACGGATTTTTTTTCCTGAAATATGGCAGCCCATGGGGAAAGACCACACCTCAGCAGGGAAAAAGTGGGAGAGGGATGGAGCAGTGAAGAGACACTATTCTGTAATGACCATTGCTCCCCACCCCCTCCTGCACTGGCTGCGGTGGGGGTGAGGAGTTGGGGGGGAAGCCGTGAAGTTGAGCTGGGAAAAGGGGAAGGAAAAGTGTTATTTTAATGTTTGTCTTAGTTTCTTACTACCTGAATATTGATTTTAATTAAAAAAAAAATTAAAAAGTATTTAAAAAAATAAAATTGATTTTCCCCAAGTTGAGTCTCTTTTGCCCACGGTAGTAAGCGGTTAGCAACCTCCCTATCTTTATCTCAACCCATGAGCTTTCTTATCTTATTTTCCCCTCCTGCCCCACTGAGGAGGGCAAATGAGTGAGCAGCTAGGTAGGTGTTTGGCTGTTTGCCACAAAAGGTAATACGCTTTCATCATTATTACATTAGGTAGGCTGATGCAGCATAACGTACTCTGTGAATGTCCCACTCTGGTGACATTTTAGCCAGTTAGTACACAGTATAAATATAGCACAGGACACAAAAAGGCAAAGGTCCTGAATCAATAAGGCCTGTAAAAGCCATCTAGCACAGCTGTCTGCAGTGGCATTGGTAGTGGCAGACAAACTTGACCACTTGAAGCTTTGTCATGTGCATCTGTGCTAGAGTGCCCTGCACATATACTTAAGGTAGATGTGTACAAGGCTTCTATAACCTTAAAATTTCCTACAGAAATCATCAGGACTTGAGCAAAGCATTCTCTCATTTGCACTCCATCCAAGTCTATAAAACTGCTCTGGCAAATGCAAACTGTTTCCATTTTCTGTGTCCCTGTGATGCATAGTACTTACCAAAATATGGTTCATTTGGGCAGCCCTTCAAGCGCACCCCCTTATGAGTGCATTCAATCAGAAAATGCCTTACAAGTTCATTTGACAAATCTCCAACTGTGTGGAAAAAGAAAAAGAAAGCTCATGAAGAGAAGCAACGAACAGACAACAGTCTCACAAATTAGCAGGTCTTTATGAAGCAGTTTTTCACATTACCACCAAATGTTTTATATACAGCATGCAAAGAATACATTAGACCTGCTCTGCTGCAAGGTTACAAGCTGTCGTAAAAAGGACATTTTGCAGAAAACAAACAAGCAAATAGCTCACTTTAGACAACCAGAGGAAAAGGTTTTATAATCATAAGTGACTGACATCCAAATATACACTGGTGTCCAAAATGCCCAAGCATGGTCCCAACTACAGACAGGAACAGAAATTTTGAAAACGAATGGCTGGAAATTCTGATGCACTTGCCCATTAGAAGAACTTGCATCCGATGTGACAAGGCAGTAAAAGTACGATAAAATGCTCAGATTTCTAGTGACAGTTTAATCTTTTCCAGATCAAAACAATAGAAGAGTTAGCTACACAAAGGTAATGATGCCAAGTCTTTCAGTGAATTTCTAAGTTTTAAAATGTTTGCAGTTTTATGGTAAGTTTTTGCTCCCCAAACCAAACCATTACATGAAACGCTTAGGTTTCACCAGACTCTTAAAGACAGTTTAAAGACAGGAACCTAGGACACACCAAAATTGTTACGTTGGATGTAATGAGGAAATTCAAAGTCCAAGAGGCATATAAAAATTCCCTTGAGATTTAGCATTCTTTTAAACATATACATACATATGCATACATATAGTTAAAACAACTTAATTTCTTGAAAGACTGGTTCACAGTATTTCACATCGGACTACAAACTGAATCTCTCTCCAAGTAATTAGAGGGTTATTTCATAGCAATGGGACAAACCTACCCAACCATTCAAACCCTAACAAAAGAGGCACAAACACAAATGCTCCCTTTGACTCTGATCTATCAGCCACAGTCCAGGAAACACATGACATCAAGGGCTGACTTTCAGGCTAATGCAGATGAACACATTAATCTGGACAGCAAAAACTTCTATACAAGCAAATACAGCAAAGATCACCTTTTCAAACAGCTTACTGTTTGCCGTTGTGCTCTCAAAATATTAAAAATAAATGACTACAAGGGTACATGGGAAGGGGAAGCCTGGAACAAGAAACCCCACAGGAGATTGAACAAATTTGTACCTTCTGGGACGGAAGAGTGGGAACCAAAAAAGCCAAATATCACAAAGCGAGAAGTGGAAGAATGCCACAGTATCCACTAAATTTTCTCTTACTACCACTTGCCTGTGGTACAACTAAAATAAACTGACTCTTAAAAGCTAGTAGTGTTTGAACTTTCATGTCTTCTTAGTCTTCACTGGTCTGATGATAAAAAAAATGCCTACAGCCACTCCCCATTTGCCTTCTTGCTGTTGCTATCACCACACCAGTGCACCCCTGTTTTCTTCACTAAATAAGACATTGTGGTGGTTCTGCTGATGTTGCTTGGCAATAAAAAGAAGGATTACATGGCAAATTTTTATTAGAAACTGGCTCAAGATTAAGCATACAGAATTTGGAAGTGTTATTGTAATAGAGGTGGACTGCTAACCTTACCCCGGAATAAGCATGAAATCTTAAAAAAAAAACAAAAAACCAACAGTCACCAACCAACGAAAACCAGACAAAACCACACTTCCATAAACACGACAGTAAGAATCACTGCTTTCCTGTGATCTCAGTTGCTTACCTCACCAGGCAGCATGTACTAATGAAACATAATAAGCTTCGTAAAAGGAAAACAGCAGCAATGAAAACTACTCCACTACCCTTGTTCTTGAGCCAAAGACACTACAGATACTGGCTGCTGAGTTTCCATACATTGAATAATGCTTTCTATATGTTCTTCTCATTTTACCCTTCCTAACCATCAGACACAAGTTATACATGGAGGCACTGGAGCTGGAAGCATAGGTATATTTCATCACTTCTTTTACACAACTATCATCTTTCCTTGAGGAACCTCCTCAGATTTTTATCTAAACTCAAGAACTGTCTCAAAACAAAAATATTCAACCTTCCAGCCAAGCAAAAGCTTTATGTGGTGGTATGTGGATCAAATGCTTCTGATTGCTAGGGAGGACCCATTACTGAGATGACACTGGTTTTCTGTTAGGTTGATAAGGTATGCATCAAAAACATGCACAGCCACTATGAACATACATTTACAAGCCATGACTGTAAAGTACAACAGACATCTTATCCAGTCTCATTTAACAATGTACCAAATGGAGCCTGTAATTCAAGCTGCACTTCCCAGATGAGAGGAGATTCCTCCAGATTATTGCCCAGTAATAAGGACTCCCTACTGTGTATGGCTTGTTAAATAATAGACAGAGGGCATACAGTACCTTTCTTGTTCAACTGCAGCACAGAAGGAGGTGGTGTAGCAACCTTCATTGCTAGCCCATAGGCTCCCCGGAAAGAATGACTGTCTCGAACAATGAATGACCCAGGCTCCTTGTCCTTGAGAACAGCAATGGCTACAAGGGATTCCAGAAAAGAGAGAGAAAAATAGTTCCAGAAAAATGCACACACCCAAAAAGCACATAAATGCAAATCTATAATAGGAGACTAAAGGAAATAAGATCCTTTTCTCTGTCTCCATTGCTGTAGAACAGAATACAATAAAGCATATTTGGGGGATCTAAGTGGAAATATCTTGTGCAAATCTCACAGACACTTATTTGAAGAGAAGGCTGAAGTACAGATACCTACTGATTTTTAAACTAAGAAGGACACACAGGTTTTACCAGGATTCCTACAAGCAATGCAAGAGAAAGTTGATTCCTGCTTACGTTTCATCAACTTGTTAGAAGCATGACAGAGAGCACAGCCTGTAATTCCCAGGCTGACTACACAGCACTGATTTTCTTTTCCTATGCAGCTTCAACAGGCAGAGCAGATATGTTTTCATTCACAACCACGTTTCTGTCCCTGCAAAGCAGTCTCAATCCCTTACTACCTTTAAAGCAAGGGAAGGGATGCAAGTGAGTATTTGTTCTTTGACTGTCCAAGCATTGAAATATTTTACGTATATACTCTGTGATCTCTGCTGGAAGTGTGATATGAAGTCCTCCCCACATGGAACCATTTGCAGGGAAACTGTTCTTGCTTTGCATGAGTCTGCTGCAGACTTTGAAATCTAGTAGCCCAAAATATTAAACTTTATTTGAAAAAAGACAAAAGGCTCATCTAACGATTGAACTTTATTTGATCTTAATAAAACCTTAGTACTTTGCTTTATTTTTTTCCTTAAACGTTATGGAAATACTTGTGTTTGTTTCCAGAATGTCTAATGATCAGCAAGCCTTCAAAGAAACCCTGGAAAAAGCCCAAATTTGACCCCAGACTCCTTAACTGTTTGTATACACAGAACATGGAAATTATGCATATGGGGCATGAAGCCACATTTTGCAAGGCCTGAGGATAATTACATCATAAACACACACACACACATATTTTTTTTCCATGAAAAAAACAGTAAGAGAGAACTGGGAAAATACAGCTATAATTATCTCTCTTGTTTAAGTGAGTAAAGCAAATGAGTATATATTTTTCTCTACTCATCTGTCAGATGGTGAAGAATACAATTATTTTCACAATAACCTGCCATGTGTTGAGAGGAGGAGGACAAATATATAAAACCCTGCAATTCAGCAGTACTTGTGTAACACTTCTAAATCCGCAGGGGCACAGCAATAATTTGTCCCAGAATCAGTCCATTAAGCACATGAAAAAAGAACAAGTGCTCCCCATGTCAGCAACAGTATCTTAAAATGCTTTTTAAAAGGAATTTTACTTGGTAGGGTGAAAAGAGACATACTAAAAGGTTGGGAAGATTTCATTTTCATTTGTTACAGCAGCTCCGTTTAAACTTCCTTTATGATCTACTCCCTCCTCTGGACTCACATCAAGTCGGAAATTTTTTTTTGCATGTCTAAAGACTCAGTTCTCATTATGGGTTGGGAGCTGACAAGGGAAAGCGGACTGGAGTGAAAGGACCAGTAAAACTTCATCCAAAGATGAATTAATAATCCGTTTTCTGTGATCCTTTTTCTTCTAGGCTCATATTTACCACTACACTACAAGAGGCATCCTCATCGTTTGAGAAACTATGAACTAGACAGACATAGCAATTCATCATTTGCCAATAGCTGAAGGCTATTTTGGTTTAGTGTGAAATTCCTTCCTAATGCAGAACTAATTTGTAATTCTTCTTTTTTGACAACCACATTTTAAGAATCCCAGTTTAAAATCCTGTCATAACTCATTAAATACAATTCAGTATAGCTGAATATTACAATATGGACACAAGGACTGTCAGCCCAATTGCATTTGCAAAGCACTCAATGTGCTTTACTTATGCATTGTTGCAGGGACAAGGTAGAAGTTTGTATGTATACATTTTCACATACATAATAAAAGCTTTCCTCATCTTATTCAATAATATATCTACATATAGATGTACTATAGCTGTATTGTACATCATAAAGATGCTGTTCCATGGGAGTGTTATTTCATAACCTTTAAGAAATAATCTATGTCACTTGCAGCTGACAATGAAATTCAGGCTACAGAATGACTGGTAGATAACAATGCTTTTATGATGACTTTTAGCTAATGAATTATTCTCTGATACTTAGCACCTCTCAACCTATTACCTGTGCAGGGAAAAACACATGGCTGAGATCATGCCAGAGCAGCACGCTTCTACTCAAAAGGTTTCTGAAAGCAGACAGTTGTTTGCTATTGCATCACATATATCTGCCATTCCAAAACCTGGAGCTTTTCAGTAAAGCACATTTGCAGCAGCTACCACAGGCAGATTTAAATTACTTTGTAGTTAGTTCAGTTAGGCTAATAATTTGTCTGATTAACTGAATATTTTTTACTGCCCTCCACTCCCAAATTCAGCCTTTGGACAAAAGAAATTAAGTGAGGTTGTCTGTGGCCTTTCTAGGTTTTATATTTCTTCTTGTATTTCTTTTAGACATCAGGTATGCAACAAAAAAAATTAAGGAGAATTCACCAACTAGCCTTTTTGTGAATGGGTATGTCAGAATACATATCAGGTGATATACCTTGTTCTCTTGAAATATCTGGCTTATACCAGAACTTGGATGTGTCCTGGACAAATTTCACAGTCACGTGTTTATCAGTTGTGTTTTCTGTGAAATAAAAGGAAAAAAAAATCAAGAATTTTTTAAAATACAAAAGTATTTTTTACTTTTCTTTCCAACTTCCAATCACCTTAATTAATTCAAAAAGCCCATGATTAGAAGGACAATTTAGGAGAAACTCTGAACTGTTTTAGAACCAGCAAATACTGTAAACTAATATTCTGAAAGCATTCTTGAAGTTTCATTTTGAAAAACCCATAACATATGAAAAACTCTTACATTTATAAAGCTGTATTAAATACAAAGCTTCTCACTGGGGTCCAGTGACTATACATCTACATTTTTAACTATTCTTGACACAAGTCTAGAAAGGTACAGAGAGAAGTCAGCCCTTATGAAAAGAAGTTGGACTCCAAACCACTCGCTTGTGGTTTGGCAATTCAAAAGGCAGGCTGCCCTTGGCCAACAGAAGCAGAAAAGCAGCACAGAAAGAATTCTGAAGCCTTGTTCTCTGTATAATACCAGTGCCAGTGAACTGGCACCCCTTATTGCAAATATTCAAGTTCTCTGTGCCATTTTCATTCCATTGCTTTTTTTTTTTTCCCTCCCCACTTTTAAAATCCCCTAAGTGCTTTTTATAAACTCATATAAAAGCTAATGTATTTTTCATTTCTCTGATGCAGAACCTACCTGGCACTGGGGAAGTGCTTAACATTTTTGAGAAATCTGGGAGGACATTTGGGAAAGGGATGCTGATTGTGCTTCCACTGTGGGGGCTAGAGAAGCCACTTGAAGAAGGTGACACGGAGGCAAATGAACGGTCGCCTTCAGAGGACCTCTTTTTCTCTGGAAGAGGCGGTTGAGCATGTAGGTTCTGAAAAAGTGATTGCAAAATATTTCTGAAAAAGTGATTGCAAAAAAAACTTTTGTCCTTTGGATGATGATAAGCTATTGTCCTCAGCATCTGCCACTGATGAGCTCATGGTTTTAGGAGAGATACTAGTATTGGCTATGAAAGTAGCTTGTGTCTCCTCTCGGGGGGAGCTACTGCCCCTGTTGCCCCCGCTGTAGCTTAGGTAGGCCCGGGCACTGCTACTGACAGCAGGTTCTTGCTGTGGCTCTGCTGGTGAGTTCTCCAGGCTGCTCAGGGTGACGACTTGCAGTCCTGGAGTTTGGAAATGAGACAAGACAGAGACATCTTGCATGGCGTTTGAAAATTCAGAGGGCACAAGGTAACCTCCCGGTGGCCTGCTGTTTCCCATTGTAAGCTGGAGCGATGGGGAAGCTTTAGGGCTGCTTTCAAGCCAAGGATGTTCTGTTGCAGAAGAGCTGTCAAAAAAAAAAAAAAGATTAAACACAAAAATAAAACAACAGCCAAATTATTCCCTTAAAATGTCACTGTACAACCCATACTGCAGCAATCATTGCAAGCAATGAATCACCTCACCCATGTCAATACCTGAGGGTGCTCTTTGACAACATGCTGGACCTGATGATGCAGCTGGATCAAGGGATTCCAGCCCCACCCTGATCACTCATTTCTTCAGTGTAGGTCATTACTTTCTGCCTCATCTCACCCTCCACCTAGTCAAGCTGACGGGACAGCTGCTGAGTTTGCACTGTAAACCAGGCCATCAAATTAATCAGTTAAAAATACTCCTCCTTCCCCCTGTTTGAGAGGGTTACTTTTATTATGAATAAATTCAGTGAAGCTGTTCACAGCATTGCTTCACATACAGTGGTCCTGGAGATCACTACATGGTGAGCTGAAGTGCTACCTGGAGAGGAGCAGTAGGAGGCAAGAATTTCTTAAGCCAAGGCTGGCATCAAATGTAGGCGTCTATAAAGGAAAACTGACACTGCCACAGCAGTTCTTACATGCAGAGCCTCTTATGCTCTTTTAAAAAAAAAAAAGAAAAAAAAAAAAGGGCTACAGAGGTAATTGTGCACCATCACACAATACATGAATAACTATGATAAGAACACAGTTCACAAGACCCAACTCTTAGACCAGGTCCCTTTTAATAGAATTTATATTAAAAAAGGAAAGGAGGCAGGTCCAGCGGTTAATTTATTTGATTATGGAATCATTTTGATTGATAGAATTAAATATTTCAACAGTAAACATTATACTTTTCTACTGGGTAGCAATTCTACCTGCTCAAGTGAAGAATAACAAATATCCTTCTAAACAAGACAAACTAAGCTTCTGATGAAACCATTTGATAAAAGTTTAAATTGTCTCTTTGCTTCTAAAAGCAAAATGGCTTTAGACTGCAGCTGGAAAACATTACCAGCAATATCAAATGTAGAGAGAACAAACTCATTGTGAGATGCAAAGGGAAAAGAGCTGACCTCAGGTACATAAAAAAAAGAAAGGATTTTTAATTAAAAGGGAACTGTGGAAATGCAGACCAGTAGACTTTAACAGCTCAAAGTAGAAGGGCCATAGAGAAATGTAAGGGAAGCAAATGGAAGAAGATATCATTGCAAGAAAAAAAACACCACAGCTCTAGCTATCTGCTAGATGAAATGAAAAGTGATGAGAAAAATATTTATAAAGAAGGGAACAAAAATTTCTAGATAGTCTGAAGTAGGAATGTAAACTTGATGACTACATTTCCTGATAAGCTTTTAATTCATATCCACTTATAATGAAATGTTACATTGCCTCCTCCTCAGAAAATACTAACATACTTTGTTCAGTCTTATGATTCAAATTCATAACCACAAAACATTCTTTCACAGTCCAAGTATCGACTGAAAATGAAATCAATTAGATGAGAAGATAAATAAAACATAAATAGATATCAACACACTTGAAGTCCTCACTGAGAGTCTGACACACCAACCAACAGCATTCCAAACACTCACTCCGAAAAAGGAGCCAATTACCCAAGAACAAGAATAGGATAATTAGCCACAAAGGAATGTTGTTGCAGAGCGATAGAGAAGGAAAGCTAATCAGCTGTAATTTAACACCTCATCTATTAAATAAATATAGGGCATAGCTAACAACATTCATTGTCACGGTCTTCTGAACCTTCTAACAGTAACCTGGGACTCCTTGTTTGTTTGCTATGTTTCCTGCTATTTCTCATCTTAGGCTGTAAGCTCCTTGGGACAAGGACTATTTTGTAAATTTATATAATTCAAACTCTGGTCCAGAGTCCTACATGTTTACCAAAATACAAATATGAAATAACAAAATGCTCAGCCTGCTGAGCAGTTGAAAGGGAGTCAGCTATTCGCTCCCAAAAATAAATCCTCTGACATTTAACCTACTAGAAAAGCACATACTGCAGTGAAAAGAGTGCTCCCTCTCTCTCATATACCATTATTCCAACATGAAATTTCATTAAATGCTTTTCAGTAAAGCATTACAGAAGCTGGTAAGGCACACAGGAAAATATGTATGAGTTTGTGCTAGCACACAATAAAGTAAATAAACTATAAATTCCTATTTATTTTTGTATTCCTATTTATCGTAAAAGCTAATTGTGTCCCTGACATATAAATAACATCTGTGTATGTGGTAAATTCCAGCTGCTGTACAACATCATCATTAAATGTCACAACCAAACCTGAAGTCCTTGCAACAAAGACGCAAGCATAACATCTCGGCTGGAAACTTAACAGTAAGGTAGGAGAATGTTTTCCTACCTTTCTCCTCCTGGGATAGGACTGTTAGTTGAAACAGTACATGAAGATGCAAAACAGCGCTGAAAGGAGGGATCCATCTGCATGTTGGCCCTTAGAAAAGCAGGGTTAGTGCCCACAGTGCTGTCAGACATCACCATAGAGTGGTTAATGGCTTCTGTGTAACTTCGAGATTCTGCAGCAAAGGAAAAAAAATAAAAGGCAAGTTAAAAAAACAACTCTCATTTTTATGGACCTTGTACTGAAATAAGTATTTATGGAACAATCTGTTTTTCTCTTATTAGGACTATAAAAAAGAGCTTTTATTTGTTTGACCAGTAACATTTTATTTCACAACATCACATTGATTGCTAAAACCATCTAGCAGGACAAATGGCAGAGGGAATAAAGATCACAGAATTACAGCACTCAAATCAGTTCTCCAGGGTACATTCTCTAGCCCTAAAGATGAGAACAGACCCATTTGTTCCAAGTTGTTTTGCATTTCATGGTCCACAGTGTTAATCAGATATGTCTAGTCAAGTGTCCTATGTGACTATACGCACCATCAGTGTGCACTTAAACAGCGAAGTGATAGAAAACTGGACTACTAATTCAGCCTGCCCATTCAGTCCATTGCTGAATGGGGCAAGGGACCGGGTGGAAAATGACAAAGAAATCGCTGAGGTATTCAAAACTTTCTTCACCTCAGTCTTTACCAGTAAGACAGGACTTTGGGAATCTCAAGCTCCTGAGACCACAGGAACAATCTGGATTAAGGAAGACCTATCCTCAGTGGAGGAGGACCGAGCAAAGGAGCACTTAAACAAACTGGACATATGTAAGTCCATTGGGGCCTGACCGGTTGCACCCGCAAGAGCTGAGGAAGCTGGCTGATACCACTGCAAGGCCACTCTCAGTAATCTTTAAAAGGTTACAATGATTGGGAGAGAATCCTGAAGGCTGGAATGGAACAAGTGTCACTCCTTTCTTCAAGAAGGACATGAAGGATGATCCAAGGAACTGCAGGCTTGGCTAGCCTAACCTGAGTCTCTGGGAAAGTGATGCAGCAACTAACCCTGGAAACTATTTCCAAACACACCAGAAAAGAACATGATCAAGAGTTGTCAACACGGATTTATGAAGGGGAAATCATGCCTATCCACCCTGATAGCCTTTTTCAGTAAACTGAATAGCTTAGTGGCGAAGGGAAGAGCAGTGGATGTTGCTTATCTTGACTTTAATAAGACTTTTATCACAGTCTCCCATCACATCCTCATAAAGCTGACAAAGCATGGGTTAGATAAGTGGACAGTGAAGTGGATAGAAAACTGGCTGAATGGCTGAGCCCAGAAGCTTGTGATCAGCTGCACCAAGCCCACTAGGAGGCAAGTCACCACCATTACACCTCAGGGGTTGATACTGGGGCCAATACTGTTCAACACCTTCGTTAACAACCTGGATGATGGGATGAAGTTTCATCAGCAAGTTTGCAGACAATAAAAAACTGTGAGGAGTGGCTGATAAACCAGATGGTTGTGCTGCTGTTTAGAAGTGGAAGAAATGGGCCAAGAGGAATCTCAGAAGTTCAACAAGGGGAAATGCAAACTCCTGCACCTGGGAAGGAATAATCCCAGGCACCAGTACATGATGGGGGCCAACTGGCTGGAAGACAGCTCTGCAGAGAAGGACCTAGGGGTTCTGGTGGACAGCAGCTGACCATGAGCCAGCAATGCAACCTCATGGCAAAGGTGGTCAACAGCATCCTAGGCTGCATCAGAAAGAGTTGCCAGCAGGTCAAGGGAGGTGATCCCTCCGTGCTGCTTTGCACCAGTGAGGTCACATCTGGAGCTCTGTCCCCATTTCTGGGCTCCCCAGTACAAGAGAGACATGGACTTGCTTGAGCAAGTCCAGCACAAGGCCATAAAGATGCCTGGAGCATGACTGGGACTGGAGCGTCTTTCATAGGAGTAGGGGCTGAGAGAGCTGGTACCGTTCAGCCTGAAGAAGAGAAGGTTCAGGGGTATACTATCCCTGTGTATAAAAAACCTGAAGGGAAGGAATGAAGATGAGTGAGACAGTCTTCTCTCACTCTTCTGCTCACATGAGGAGAAAAGGACAGAACTGGGTTTGAAAGGCAGTTGAGCAGCACAGAGCAGCATGGGATTTAGTTACCAGTACAGCTACAGATTCCAGGTGTGACTTTGTTCATACCACTCAAGACAAAAAAGTAAAGCAACTGTAAACTCTTCTTTCCTAGCAGCTTGCAAATAGCATCGGAGTAATTAGTTTCTGATTCAAGTGTTCAACTATATTCAACTTAATTATATTGGACAAAAATACTATGGAATATAGCTAAAATGATGCATTTGGATGAGGGATAATGTGGATGCTATTACTGAAGAGCTTTATACAGAAACAGTTTAATCCCCTTCTTCACAGGTACATTTTAATAACCAGTCAAGCTCTAATGAGGATTACATTTAATTATTCTGGTATAATCTAAAGCAGTCCAACACCTATTCACATAAGCCCAGGTTCAAGGGCACTATTTTCTACCACAGAAAAGGCCATGCACTAAGATACCGCAAGTGCCTGCACATCTGAATAGCTTCATACACCTGAATAGTTCCATTGACCTCAAAACTTGCAGGACTGGAACCCAATAAATTCATCACAGACAAAACAATCTCTAATTACTCTCTCTTGAGCAAATAGACTTCAAAAGCTTAAGGGAGGAAAAAACACAAAAAAGTTACAGAACAAGTCCAGTCCTACAGAGTTAAGATCATGTTAATCCATCTTCTCCATAACAAAATCTTTCTAATGTGAAAAGGAGGAAGGTTCTCACTATTTCTGTGAGTGCCACTGAAACAAGCCTAACTAAATCTCCCTTCAACCCATGGCAGAGCCTGGCTCTGCTATTATTTGAATGAGGAGGGTGCAAGGTACTTAAAAGAAATGCCTGAGATAAGAAAATCTGCAAATCAATGCCCTGACTGAAAACCATTTGAATTCCTCACATAGTACACATACTGTACAGAGCAAACATTTAAGTACATGAGGGAAACATTAAAAAACTGCAACACTGTCTTTTAACTATACCCATTACTTTAACTATATCCATGCCAGCCATAAAAGTAAACTTTAAGGAAATACCGCAGAAATATGTGTGTTGTGGAAGAGCTAGAGAAATCTGAATCTGTATCTATCTAATAGATCAGATATATTACAGTCATTCTCATACTGGTCCAAACACAGAAAAAGCTGACTGCATAAACCCATGATTTAGGCCATATTCCTACTGAAATCAGTGGGGCTTGTTTACTCAAGTATTACAAAGACTGACTGTTTACCCAAGTATTATAAAGATTGATGTTAAGCCTTGAGCAATGATTTCAATATATAATAAAGTATATTACTTTGTCTTAACAATTATCCAAGAAAAAGGCTATTAGTTGAAGGTAGGTTGGTCAAATCAATGTTGTGCATCTGAAGACTACTACAGCCTTCCCAGAAACTCAACTTTCACTAGGATAAAAGCAGATAAATCTCCCGAAAGCAGCATCTGTAAGACAAAATATCTAAGTGCAACAGTCATCTCGTCTCTGCATGTGAACCTGCAGATGCTTCCCAATTATACTGCAGGTTGAGATGACTCTGCTACTGCATGGGAGAGGTTGATGCCATCCCTGTAGGCATGGGAATTATGGTCACAAGTTTAACTCCATATGCTTCCTTCTTTTCGTGCCTCTATGTCTGTTCCTCTGATAGCAGACTATATAGGGGAGTCACTGGACTCCAGTTACCAAGATCTTGGGGGCAGGAAGGGGAGTGGCACTCTTTCTGAAATAGCCTAAAATCTTCTCCCACTCTAATGCAATCTCAGCTATGTGCAAAGAGTTAATCTAAAGCATTTACACAGCAAAGTCCTCTCCTTTTCCCACGAATAACAGCAGTTGCTTGAAGAAATGGACAAAGACTTGATTTTTCCCTGTTTCAGGCCTTGGACTGTTGCTATTACCTTTAGAGCACTGAACACTGGGTGAGGAAAGGACTGCCGTCCCGTTTGCAGATGCAGCATTTCTTTACATACCCAATTTTCATAGGTGTAAATTACTAAACTAAGAGTCAAAAGCCATTGGCAGCAGATGTGATCTGCAGAAAGAACACAAACTGTACAACTCTTCCCAGGCTAGAAACAAGTGTATCTGAAAGGGACTTCCCATGAAAGCAGCTTTGTTTATATTTCAATTAAAAACAAGCTTGCTGAGTATTTCAGCTATGTCCTCTCTATCGTCTGATGCAGAGTCCACACTCAACAGTCAGCTGTTAACCTTATATCTCACGGAATCATTAACACAAGGCAACCTCATAGCTTCTACATCATTTCTGTATGCATGGTATGAACTCCCCTGGCATGTTTGCTGCAAAGCATCAGCGCTTCTTGCTGCAGACCCCTACTAAATCTGTTTGTGAGAACACTGACAACATAAAAGTTCAGCTTCCTACTTTAAAAAGTGACATGACAAAACCAGGATTATTCATGTTCATGTCTCTTCATGCACCCAGGTCAGACCTGCATATCTACACTTACTACCACTGATCATCAACTTTAGAGGCAGAAAGTAAGAGAGGAACTGGACTCTTTCCATCATACACTACTGAAAAGTGACATTGAGGACGATAACGGATACTAGCATGCCCATATGCAAGGCAGAAAAATATCCAGCTCACTCTTTTACTGTCCTACTTGGCAGCAAATGGCAAATACTTGCAAAAGTTGCAAGCTTCTTTCACTTACAAGCAGAAACTCCTGGATGTACCTAGGACACAGCTATATAAAGCAAGATGTTATAAATTAACTTGTATTTTAATCCACTAAATCCATTAACACAAAGAAGAACCCTGAAAAAAATCCATAAAAAATGCCAGTGACTTAACACATGCAATGGTCCAGATAAAAGATGCATAAAAATGTTCTTTTTCCTCTTTCTTGTAGCAGCTGAAGGGCAAAATCACCTCACAGCTTTGGAGACAATGGTCCAACAAAGGTAGGGAAGTGAAAGGAGCAGTCATTCCACTATCATACCTTGTATTTTAGCAGCTTCTCATACATTCCCATCTTTGTAGTCCTTTTTGTGAGACGGTGACAGCCAACCTGCAATGCATGTACTTGAAAACTCCAGTCAAGAT